AGTCAATTGATTATCCTTCCAGTGTATTCACTCTTTAATACCATAATGCAGATCCATAGATCATCCTCATAATCATCACTGAATAAATTTTCCAACGGTCTTTATTTCATTTCCACGTTTCAACAATATCAGGAAATACGAACGTACTTGATCCATGGCTCATAACCCATAAGGACAATTCATCATGTAAGTTCAACAGTGTTTCCAAACTCATCCAATCACCTATTTAATCATCAGTCATTAATATTACTTAGTTCGTTTAGTAAACAAGTCTATCCCGATTACTTTAAAGTTTTCCAGAATAATTCAGACGTTTCTGAATTTCAAATACACGTTGTACTTCATTTCAGTTCAATTTATTCATATAATAAAGTCATTCTGGTATTCATGGTTGATTTGACTCACGAATACCCACTTATTAGTACTGTATGCGCTCTAGAGTTGAGCTGAGCCAAGTATTTCCAGAATTATCATCGATCCAAATTTGAGAAGATGAACAAACATTCAAGTGGTACTTATATCATTCAGGTAATGATATAGCACTAACGTTGGTTGATCACTTAACCTGCGTTCCATAACTTTTAAGAGCAGTACAACATCCATGTTTATTTGGATTCCTTAATTAATCCAAGACATTTACTTATTCTAGGCCAATAGGGTATTTTGGTCATTTTGGTGCTCAACGTTTTTGTATTCATTTCAAAGCTTGAGTATATCCATTCATTCCTGACCTTGGTGACATTCTTGAGTCATTTCCGTTCCAAGGGTATTTTGGTCATTTTACAAATCTAGAATATTTCAATCATTTCCTTCCGTTTGGTCTTATTATTTAATTCAAACTTATCATTTATGTCAGTCCCTTTGAACTATTCTGACAAAATATCACCATCGATAAATTACTATTCTTCACGTACTTACTCAAGTCGAAGATTTCCAAGTTAAATGCCTTCTCAGATGTTACTAACGGATTATCAGAATTTTCCATACAAAAATAGGATCTCAACAATCAAATCAGTAATTTATCGGTTTAAAAATAAATTCTCATGTTACTTCCTCATTCAGAGTCAACTTGGACTATTTTTACCTCTTAAGGGCATTTTCATAATTTCTTAATCATATAATTTCGGTATTAACTCTTAACGAAAATAATTGTTCTTTAGAGATCCAATGGTTAATTGCTTTCCCGAACATTCTTTGATCTCGAAATGATTCCTTAACAGACTTATAGTATCTTATACAAACCCTTTTAGTGTTAAAAACCAATTATCCAAATTTTCTAAGCAAAACTAGCATTTCTTATGCACAACTGTAATTATATTGGATCAATACGTCTTTTCAGAGTTATTAACCAACTTCCAGGGACAATTCTTGTCATCCACAAACATAAGAGTATTTTCGTAATTTTATCCTACGGAGTATTCTCATAATTTTCCATCCAAGTACCTTTAATATTTAACCTTTAAAATATAAGTTATAAATCCATGGCTGATTTCTTTATCACAAATCACACAACTTGTAATTTAATTCTAACATTCCTTCAATCTCTTATATTAATCATTCGATCCGAATTCAGTTATTGAATTTCTACCACATTCATATCGAGTGTATAATTATTCAACTCCATAAAAGTGACCAACATTATCTTATTCATGCATTTACCAATATCAACATGTTCCATAAAGCATAAAGAGGTAGTAAAGTATTACATTGATTTTCTTGCAATACTGATCAACCATAAAATTCCATTCGAACACCCTTGATCTTGAAATCATCTTCAAATATTTCCTCGGATCCATACCAACAGAAATTACATAAAAAATAGAGCATAATTTTGAAAAACGGATCGAATCGGATGATAAATCAGTGAAAAACAGCTTATCGGGTTTGAATTTGGCAAAACGGACTTCGGATTCGGATTCAGGACATCGAAAGCATAAAATATGACTTTTCGAAAATTCGGAATTTTTGATCAAAATCAAAGTCAACGAGTTTGACTGGCAATTTCGAGGCCTTCGGGTCTGAATTTCGAGAAACGAACTGCGGAATCGGATTTGAAACGTCGAAAAATGTCAGGATAGGTATACTCGATCAAAGTCAAAGGTCGTTTAATGTCCGGTCAAAGCCGGTCAAAGTTTTGGTCAACAGTGGTCAACGCCGGTCAACAGGTCGGGTCGGGTTGTAACCGGTCAAATATGCTCCAAAACCGGTCAAACCGGTCACTTTTCCCTTCCCCACGCACAGTGGGGGCGCGTGAACAGTGCTAAATTTTTGAAAAAATTCCTGAAAATTATTTTGAGTGATTTCGAGATACTTATAAAGCTCGGTTCACAATTTTGAACGGCGGAGAGCTCAATTTCAACAAATCAGAAACTTTGATCGCTTCACCTCCTCACACGCCGCCGTCGACGGAGACCAAGGATGACATCGACAGACTCAGAACGGAACAAGGAACACGATGGTGTGGGAGGTATCGTAAACGGACCATCGGATCGTCGTGAATCGACGAAAAACCAATTGAAATTGAGTTATTACCGACGATACTTCCGATTGAAATTAACGACGAACGACGACGATTCACGACGAAAGGTTTGAGGGTTTTTGTTCCTCGCTCGACAACGAACACGATTGTGGTTTCGGCTCATCGATCGGAGGTCGGACGGCGAGTAGATCGGAGTTGAAAGTTAAACTAGAGAGGAATTATTAACATTTTCTGCCGAAAATGCATGGGAAGTAGGGGTTATATTAACTCCTAAAGAAAAATGGTCAAATCATGAGTTTAGTCACTGAATTTCATGTACATCTTAAAACAGTCTGTCAACTTTGAAATTTTACAATTTAATCCTCAATTTCTTTCAAAATACCAATTAAATCCACCACTTTATAATTTCTTAATTTTAGCCCCTAAATTGGGGTGTTACATAAACGTTTCTAACATCAATGGTTTGTTAAATTTATTAGGAAAAAGCTGCATGCATTTGCCAATTGTAAGTGGTAACGCAAGTCCCCACCAATAACCATTGGATTATATATAAAAGCTAATCATCTTTCTCTAAATACCATATATTAAACAGTGAGTGGCATAGTGTACGTTGGGTTATAAACCACTAACAAATCAACGCACGTCGATTTGGATAAAGGAGAAGGCAAGGCAAGAGAATGATGAATCAAGTACATTGTCCAACTGATTTGATTTAGGGGAAATTAAACTAGGTGAGAGCAGTACAAGAAAGAATTTGTAAATGATGTGGACAAAAGAAACAAATTCCAAGCTTTTCAACATTAACCCCATAACGAGCTAGCTCTCTAGGATAGTATACCGGATAACATCTTTTTGCTAAAGCATTATAATAACACATTCCACAACTGTATGTTCACAGCATGAAAGCTATCGGAATTCTTATTTAAAACAAGCTCATTACACAATAAAGCAGACCCTGCAAGTCAACCGATCCTGAATCCAAAGCAAATACATGCAAGATGGAAAGAAATAAACCAATCAAAGCTCAAGCAATACCTGAAATTCTAACAATCTAGCTGTATAAATACAGTGTAAAATCAATGCTCATCTAGTCATTGCCAAATCTTATAGACCAGCACGCTTACAATCTGATTAAGTGTTGGAGATTAGTCTCTGTCCGACTCCAAACTCCTGGATCGGCGATATCTTATCTCCAAACAAACTCGGCGTTCTAACCAAAGCTGGCAACGGAAATTGGAGATAAAAATCTCCGTCATTTGGTCAACATCATCAATATGCACCACAACTTGCTGTTCTGTGAAGAGCTCGAACCAACCCTTTTTCACTGGATTCTACTTCATCCTCAATGCAGCCAGGCAAACCAATGCGATCGTTAAAGCTCAAGCTCAACCGCCGCCGGGGGGAAGCACTTTTGAGGAAGCAAGCTAAGCGCCATCTGGTTAGGTTTAAACAAAACAGGGAGTTTATCCGCTTCACTGCTTTATTGAGGCGGCCAATAACAGACCAGTTCTCTACGCCCATCAACCTTTTTCAATTCAAGTGAGATTCTTAATGCAGAAATGTTAGAAATGGAATGGAGCCGGGATTAAAATTTAAATGGAGAGGAGAGGAAGCTGAGAATTATGAGGCAGGATTCCTTGTATTTATGATCGGAATGTTTAGTGTGGCCGACTTTGGTTTCTTTCTATTGTCTAGATAATGCTTGCTTGGTCACCAAGTTTTGCCTTTAAGCTTAATGAGAACTAAAAGTATTTGCAAATTGAAAAAAGCGGGGAATTTAAATACCGTTTTGAACCCAACAGCTTGGCACACGTGATCATCATATCAAGATAAAGGGGAATAAGGACTTACAAAGCTCGCTGTTTGTGAAAATCCAGCTTCTCGTGTTGCCTCCTTTTCTTCAAGGGGATTGGTGGAGTTGGTTTTCTCACCTCCCGCTGCAGGGCAGTGACGCAGGAGGATTCGGCTAGCGTGGTGCAGGTAACTCTGCTCCAGTGGTCGTGATGTCTTTCTTTTGTTTTTCTGTTTCTTTTTGTGTGCTGTTGCTCTGTTTTTTTTTTCAGTAGCTTGATTTTCTATGTTTTAGTTTAGTTTACTGGAACTGGCCCCCTCTGCTCAGGATGATCCGGGAATTGTCCCACCGCTCATGCAAGCGGGCTTGATGCACCATTTTAGACTAGTAGTGACCACAGAAGCCTGCTGTGATTAGATGAGTATTGTGCTGCGTAGTTTCGGTTTTTGCTTTTGCCTGTTTTGTTAAGCTATTTTGCTCTGTTTTGTATTCACCATGTTCCTTTGTTTGCAATAATTGAGCGGAGTCCAAAATATATATATATATATATATATATATATATATATATATATTGATTCTCAAATTATTAATTTTTTTAATATTTTTCGTTTATTATAATTATAAATATGGACTATTATGAAGCCCAAACTCGATTAATATTTAAAACAAGCCTAAATTTCATTTATTATAATTATAAATATGAACAATTATGAAATCCAAACCCGACCAATATTTAAAACAAGTCTAAAATTTTTACGCAAACTCATTTTTCGATCTAATATTATCATCTATACCGTCTCTCAAATATCAAGCTTAGATAAGCACTTAGATGCTTTAACAGATCCAGTACAGGTATCTGACTGTCATGAAATATAAAACTGCGAATGTTCATCTGCATTCTATGTTCTGATTGGCTAAAATTGTACATTACTGAAGAAAAATCCTGTTTACCTTAACTGTGAAGTTGACGACATGCGCATGTCTATCGTAACACTAATTCTGAAAGTAGCACATATATAAAGCACAGCTACAAAATTCTTCATCCCAAAAAAAATGGCAAAAGTTATAAATTCAAGAATTTGCAACCCATTGTTTATGAAGATTGCCATCTAAATTATCGTCCCCATCATTGGCAGTTTCATCGTGACTCTCTTGGCTGGTTCTTCCATCCTCAATTTCTTCCTGCTTCCCAGACCATCCATACATCTGTCTTCTAGCATCCCTTCGAGCTGCTCTCTCGGCTAGCTTCAGGTCTTTGAATCCTAGCTCAAAATTTGCTTCATCCTCGGGTGAAAAGAAAACTACCTCCCTTTGCCCAAGTTCTTCATACATCTTCTCGATTTTATTTTTCCAAAATAGGCCCATTTCTGTATCCATTTTGTGGTAGGGAGTTTTCAGCAGGTACTCATCAATTCCACCTGCCTTGTCAATGCAACGGAGGGCATGAGTAGTTACTTTGACTCGAATGTGGCGATCTAAGATATAACTAAACAGACGCTTCTCCTGTACATTAGGCTTCCAACTTCTCCTCGACCTGTCACAACCATTACATGATGTTAAAAGTTCCTAATCATACAAGACCGCATCACTCCAACATAGAAAGAGAAATACTTATTTACCGCGCTGCAGTTGAACAATATCAAACCAGGAGTGACAAGAAAGTTTGAGAAGACAACCAAAGTTAAAACTTAGGTTGACTGAATTAAAGCCTTTTTCCAACTACTACGGATTTTTGCTATACAGGTCGTTCTCTTGATTTTCTTGATCATGGCCAATATTGTTTTAGAAATAACATGGAATCCAAAATCTTTTAGAAACTTCAGATCATTCAGAAGCATTAAAATTCACACGTGCAAATAAACATGAAAAAACAGATCAATGTTTTTTTGGGCATACTCTGCACCAATTCAGCCACATATATCAGAATTCAAAATGCACAAAGGGAGAACAACCTGCTTCACAGCCAATAACTAGAATGAATTACATGCTTACAAGAATCCATCACATCTCCAAAAAAAACATCAGGAGCTCGACAATAACAAAAATATATAGCAAGTGACAGAAAATCACATTGTCCTCTTGGTAGCCTATAGAGAGCAAATTCGAAATAATGATCCAAACCACCAAAACTGGATTCATTGGATGCTACTCTCAGTTTAATATCTCAAAATTCACACAGGTTAAGGGTTTCCTAGACTATATTGGTCAATTTCTAGCTTAATTTGCAGCGAATCTCAGAACTATGTTCTTAATACCCTCAACGTTTCTTATAGTCCACAATAAAATTCTATGGCATGATCCTAGTAGACATTTACAGCTTTTCAGTAACAGTAGCTAAAGGCTCAATTTTCTATTATCATACCATTCCACAGATCGCGTCAAAGCGATAAATAAAGCAAACAAAAAAAGATAAAATCAACAGTTCCACTAAATCTTAGTTGCAGGAGCAATAAGAAAAAAGAGATAAGAAAGTAGAAAATATAGAGAGAATACTTGTTTCCGCCGTCTTCGCTGATACGGTTGCCGAACTGGATGTGTCGGCCGGCGTAAAGGCCGCGTTTGGCACGGTTCATGACGACCTTGCTGTCCGGAATGCATTTTTTAAGTTGTTCTTTCACACCAGGCGCCAGGTTGTTCTCTCCCACCTTCGTTATCATCTTTTTCATCATCTCCTTCCCTCTGAACACCATCTTTACCTTTCCCTGTCCTTTTTCCCTGCTGCTCCGACTCGTGGTTTTACTAAAATTTTAGTTAGGATTAGGTTTAGGGCTTTCGATGATGTTAGTTTTGGGCTCAAAAACCCAGAAGAAAATATATAGAAACAACAACGAACTGTCGACATGATCCAATTCAAAATTTACTTTTCTATGACCCAATTAGTTTTAAAAAGCGGTCCAAAACCAATTTCAACCTAAAATATATTTTTCTAATATAAACTAGATAAATGATCGCACTTCATATTACTATAATTTATAATAATTTAAACTATAAACATATGATTAAAATAAGTTAAATATTTTCTATATTATTTTTTTAATATTTTTAATTAATAATTATATATAATTTTATTAAATAAAAAATTATAATAAAAATTATAAACTAAGAACAAATTAATTATAAAGATTAAAGTACACATGGAAAATGATATGTGATGAAAATTAACCACTTAAAGGACACGTGGAAAATACATGTGACGGGAAATAAAAGATGGAGGAAGAAAGATTGGATCTAAATTAACGTGATCCTGAGTGGGAGATTGTGTGTCATTTTGGAACATATTAGTTGTTTGATGAAGGTGTATGTCCTTGATGTGTATCAGGTCTGTTTTTTAGATTTTAATGATTCCTTAAGTAAATTAAAAAAAATTAAATCTCTAATCAGGAATTTAAATTATAATTATAATTTATATTTTTAGTCATATTTTGTTTATCGCTATTAAGAATATAATTGATGATATTGTCAGAGGCGGACCCAAGAGCCTTCGTCAGGGGTTGCAAGAGCCTCAGGGTGACACTTGGATTAGGAGTGGCACTTGTGGAGGGGTTGCTTGGGATACCCCGAGCACCATGGAGGTCCACCCCTGGATGAGTGGTTGCCCGGGCTCCATGAAGGTCCGCCCCTGGATATTGTAATCATTGCAAATACCGCGGTTTTAAAATTTTTAATAACATATATTATTATGGATATCACGATTTCAGATCATGTCGCTACCACTATATAACGATCGTTGTTATGGTTATAGACCGTTATTTAAGTAATTGTTCCTAATAACAAATTTTGAAAGAATTTTTTTAAGGATAGCTCCATAATAACTAGTATTTAAAAAATAGTCCTTAATAACAAATATTAAAAAAATAAGAGTATGTTCATAATAACAAATATTAAAAAATATAAGACCTCTAATTAAAGTTTTGAAAAATAGACACGCAATAACAAATAAATATTATAAATGAAATGAAATTTTAAAAGTATGCCTCCAATAACAAATATTGAAAAAATTAGGTACTTGATAATAAGTATTGAAAAATTTTAACTCTTAATAACAAATGTTAAATAAATATTATATTATTTCTCATTAATTATTTATGCTTCAGTTATTTTTTTATTTCTCAATAACATTCAATTTAGTGCTTTTTAGGGTATGCTTTGCACCAATCAAACTTCCGTGCATGGCTTGAAATTTTGAGAAGATGTGGTGATGATGTGTATGAATTCGTAGCTGAAACCCCTAGGGAGAGATGGTCATAAGCATATGATGTTCAAGGTCGACGTTATGGCCATATGACTACCAACCTTGCTGAATGTATCAACTCAGTGCTGAAAACGACTTGACATCTCTCGATAGCAAGTATTGTTAGGGAGACTTACTTTAGGTTGGGTAATGTATGGGCAGAAAAAAGTGCACAAATTGATGCCATAATCAACGATGGGAGAAATTGGGCTCCAGATTTATAGAAGGCAATGCAAAAGAATCAAACACATACAACATCGATGTTTGTCCATAATTTTGTCAGACTTGATTATGATTTCGTTGTCCAAGAACTAGTTCGACCACATGAGGGATATAATTCTACAACATACACTGATAATCTAAATAGAAGATGGTGTGACTGTGGTCGATTTCAAGTTTTTAGGTTCTCATGTGTTCACGTTGTGTTGCTGCTTATATGCACATCAATGTTGACACATACTTATATGTTGATGACTGTTATAGCACACTATGCACAACATTTACAGTTGTTGTGAGTTCAAGTACCTCCCAAATGAAGTATATTGGCCTACATGCACAATTTATGAGGAATGGTTGTCAAATCCTCAATTCGTAGAAAGTTACGGGTCGACCTGAATCTAGCCAAATTCATACTAATATGGATGATCCGCAAATAGAGCCAGGCCTACCCAAACTTTGTAGCCACTGCAGAGGTGAATGTCATAACATAAAACATTGTCCACATCTTCCAAAATATTGAGTTGGACGCTAAAATAGGCGTTACAAAATATTATGTACTTTAACTATGTACTTTTTTGTACTATAACTATATCTTTTTATTTATGTTTTTAACTTGTATTATGTTGAATCATGTTTTGTAATATTTTGATATAGCAAATTAAGGAAAAATATTTTTGGACTTAATTGAATTTGTTCAAAGTCTTCAAAAGTTTTCAAAAAATAATTCAAAGTTCACGTATGAAGTATCGATACTGTTCCGACAATATTGATACTATATGAACAATACCAATATTGTTCATGAGGTACCAATACCCTAAGTAAGAGAAGTATCGATACTATCTAGGTATTATCAATACTACCAGCTTGCTCAAATTCCAGAATACAAAATCGATATCGATACCCAAAGGGGTACTGATACAACTTTATATAGTATTATCAATATCATGGTCACAATATCGATACCATCAACCCCAATGGCTAATAATGACTAGTTTTATTTGAAAATAATTAAGAAAGTACTGATACACATACAAGGAGCACCGATACTACTTGAACTTTTATAAACTGCACTAAATATGAATGAAATTTTTGTAATTAAATTTTATTACTTATCAATGATTTTTTTATACAATTAAATATTGAATACAAAAACTTAAATAAACAAATTTATTACTTATATTTGTGTAATTCTTGCTGATGTCGAGGAGTGGTAGAATAGTAATGACGTGCTGCTCGTCAATTTCATCGTGGTCGTCCACCTTCGTCATTTTCATCTTCTTCCGGTTCCGGTGTACTGAACATTACTCCACCGCATTGATTTACATCTTCGGGTGAAAACGATGGAGTATTCAAGGTATTTGACGCCATCATTGACGTCATCACCTCAAATTGAGATTGCCTGTGATGAAGAAGATGATCCCATGGACCTTTTCTTCCGATTCTGAGGAAAATTATTGTGAAGGTGACACTTGATCCCACCTACTTCATTCTCACGCCGCTCGACTCTCCATTGATAGTTGATATGCACCATTTCCACTATAACTTTCTTGTGATGGATAATAATTGGCGAACGCATAAGATGAAGATGATGATTTTCCCATATTTTGCATTCATATTTCCCACTTGAACCGCTCCTCTGTCGTTGTCAAGTATGGTTTCCCATTTGCTTCATAATTTTGGAGTTAATGAGAAACATTGAAATCAAAATCTTCGAGTTGTACATCGGAACGATTAGGCAATCATAAATGTCTATTTTGCCATTGATGTATGAATATAACATGCTTCCTCGACCAATCTTCGCTATGCTTCCCACGCGTATCTATTTTATGCAAATTGTCAATGTTAAATATGAACATTTCTATCGGTTGGTGAAACCCAAATTGTCGCAAAACTCTATCAGCGACATGAATCTCAACAATTGCGAAATAGAGCAATGATGTTATGGCACACCATGTCTCTGCTCCTTCAAAGAACATTGGCGGTATATATTGTTGGATACCCGACTCATAATAAGGCATCCAATTAAATTGTGAAAAGTATTATGTTAGTATAATTAAACAAGTAATATTACAATTTCAAAGTTAATGCAAAAAATATTAAAATTTACCGCATGTCTACGGCGATATCAATCCTCATCCAAATATCTACTTTGGTTGCACCCGACAACTTTGTATCGGTTATTCGGTGTCACGATCTAAAAAAAATACACTATTTATTGTCATTTTCAAAATATTTAAATAAATATTATAAAATATCAAAACTTTAAATATATGAATTTACTTTGTGGTGAGAGGAAACTCAATAGGAGCGGATGTAATAGGCTTCATAAACGGGAGACGATACCAAACCCATGATTGGAACAAAACTAAACAACCCGCTACATCCGCTTTTTTCCTCTAACGACTATGCTCGCCTTGTAGAGTTCACAATACAAAAAAAAGCCAAAATTACAGAACCCCAACTATATTGGCGACATACAGTGAAATCTTCCATTACCGGAAGATATTGGGTGTGCACTAAATTACCCGATTTATCCGATAGCAAGATCCCTCCAATCAACGTCATAAGATATGCTCGAGTTGTATATATCACCTCTTGCTCCATTGTCATATGTATCTGCAACTCATCAATGACATTGGTTGGAGCCTCATTTCCCAATAAAATTGAAATAACAACATTTAACGAATAAGTGTTGCGAAGCACCAATGACATACCATTAATTGGAATGCCAAGTTGATACGTGACATCTTCCAATGTTATCATCACTTCACCACAAGGAAAATGAAACGTATGCGATTTGGGTCTCCAACTCTCAATCAACACCGATATCAGTGTTGACATCACCTTAAATCTGCGAAGAAACGTTAATCCATATACTCTGGATCATGAAAGATATATCATCATCCGCTCATATGGCTCTTCATTCGTCATTCCTTGATGACAAATAGCTCGTTCTTCTCCCTACAATTTGAAAATAAATTATTTAATACAATTACATAAATAATTATTATTAATACTATAATTTTGTCAAAACTAAAAAGAAATAAAACAAATTAAATTTACTGTAGTCAAATCGGTCGACGAAATATGAACATCATCAAGACGTAACATTTCTTCTCTTGAGGCCATTTCAACACAAAATCTTCAACAAAAAAGTTTTTGCTCTCAATAGAATGTTTGATTCCAAGTGAAAAATCAATCCAACCCAAACCTCTATTTATACTACTCTACCCAACGGCTAGTTTTTTTAAAATTGAAAATAGTCGTTGGAACTCGTAACACCGGT